CGGTGACTTGAGCCATACTGTTCACTTGAATGCTCAACTGAGAATTGCACAGCACAGAGACAATTTCAAAGATAGGTATCCCAAATGAATGAAAAATTGGATTTTGGTGGTACGTTGATATTTTAATCTGAAATCTGTGAATGAAAAGTATCTGTGAGGTTTTGGTAAGGATGCATATCATATGCATATTTTGATCCTTTTTACTTAAGAGTGCGGATTCTTTTCTTGGTTAGGACTGTTAATGTAAACATATTCTTTTCCCTCTCATATATTTGTTTAGCCATTCAGATATCTTCGTCATTAAAAACAACAACAACAACAACAACACAACAACAACAAAACAAAAAACTGGACAACACTATTTCTAAATGTAACCACTTTCCTTCCTTCCTTTAATTTAGCTTCATGGTTCTTTATTTAGAACAGAGTCTTTCAAACTTCACCTTACCCAAGAGAGGACTTCATGGGTAGTTTTGAGATCAGCAGATTTCTGCTCTCTGGAGATGAGAAATTTTTGGATGTGTCTTCAATTTGTTACTGGACAGTGCAAGAACTGCATAGAGTCCTGAGTGGCTTGCCATGTCTTCTCAAGCTATACAAATCCTTCTGCTAAATTATTGTGCATTGTTTTAAAACTCTGTATCTGCTCCTTCCCAGAAATCTGTAACCTCTCAAGAGCTTTCATTTTGATAGCAGCGGACTGACTGATGCACTTGCATCACCATCCTTTGCGGTGCAAGGTGTCTCAAGGGTTGGTCTTTGTGGGGAAGATCTCAATGTCAGGAGCGTTAGAGCTCATCCAAGTGACACGTCAACAGGGAAGGGTTGGACATATGCACAATTGCTCCACTTGACAAATTGCGCCCAAGAATTAATATTTAAAATATCACCCAAAGTGGTACTAGTAGGTTTATCATAGTCAATGACTCAGTTAACGTGTTTTGGCAGCTAGTAGATGAGGCCCCAAGAAAGAATGGCACCCACCACCACTGAGCTCTTCTGTGCCTTAAGCTCTGCACTGGCATAGGATTAATTAATTCTGTCACGTGTCATGATGCATGACTTGGAGGTATACACAGCCTTGCCCTCTAATGAGCCCTGGCATTTACTTCTCAATGAGAGAGTGTGAGTGCCCTAAGAGTAATTAGGATGGACACATCCTGATGGATGAGGCTCTTTCACTCACATTCTCTTTTTTCCATTATGTGTAGCCAAGCTGAAGCTGCATAAGCAGAGTAAAAGTTTTATGCCAGCTGATCAGTGTGATGTTAAACATCAAGGCATGCTATTTTTTTTTTTTTTTTTTTACAATCATTTGAATGAACAGGCTTGCAAGGCAACCTGAATTTGGCACATGGCCACAGTTACTCTGAACCAATGTTCCATGCGCTGCACCAAGAATACTGCACAGTGGTGGAAATGATTCAGTTCACAGGGGCTGCATTGTGCTTCATGCTGTTTGTTGAAAAAGTACATTACAGTGCTGATGTGTACCAGTAACCGAAGTCCTTCTATTCCAATAATATTTTTGAGGCTTTTATATTAAATTATTAATTCATTAAAAGGCTGCTCTAGAAATAGAAAATTTCTATGTACTTGTAGGCTGAAGGATGTTTCTCTTCTCTTCTCTTCTCTTCTCTTCTCTTCTCTTCTCTTCTCTTCTCTTCTCTTCTCTTCTCTTCTCTTCTCTTCTCTTCTCTTCTCTTCTCTTCTCTTCTCTTCTCTTCTCTTCTCTTCTCTTCTCTTCTCTTCTCTTCTTTCTTTTTTTTTTTTTTTTTAGTCCTTTTATTTTTCTTAAGAAAAAAGCAACTATTCCGTCTTGTGTTATTGCAGGCATGCTCATTATTGACTTTTTGACTTTCATATCTCTGTTCATGACAGTCTTGACATGAAAGGTAATATGCTAACTGGGTTCTTCCAAGCTTAGGAAGACCAGCAGTGTCTTGGTTCTCTCCAGCCAATAGACCATATCTGATCACTTATCTTCCAGATATGACTTTTTTTTTTCTTTCCCTCCAAGGTTCCTGGAAAAAATTGTCCCATAAATTGAAACTCAATGTCTTACACCTTCACTAAGCCCCGCTAAAGTAGTTCATCAGTCAGTTCACAACATTCGCATTGGTACCACATCCTAAGCGTATCCTGCTACACTCAAAATATTGTTATGGAACTCATATACACATATAAGAATTAATGACTAGTCCAATTAAAATAAGGCAAAAGCTTCTACTAGCACTATTAAAATGATACCCATGCATCCACAATCTAAATAATTTAATTAAAACTAAAGGTGTGAAATCACCAGTGTAATTAATAGCAATATACAGGCTACATTGTCTTATTGCTCTTACTCTTCTCCAAGCTACCTTCTCACCCTTGTGGTTGCCTGTGGTCGCCAGCTGAGGATCATCAAGTGCCAGTGCCTCAAGTTACCAGAACTGCTGTTGATGGCAATAGTTTGTTCACTTCAATTTTGTGGTTTGATTGGGGGTATTTTATACTGTTGTTAGCAAGCTTCTTTTCCAGTGATCTATGATCCTGCACTATGCTAGGATTTTCGCTCACATATTGGAATTTTGCCTTTTATGATATGACTAAACCTTACTAAATATGAACAAGTCCAAGGCTTAAAGCCTCTTAGCATGGTTTGTGGTTAAAAGAATAACCATCTGACTATTTGCATTTGCTATTAGAGGTCAGTCACCCGACTGCTTTGCTGCTATAGCAAGCAAAGAAAGTCAAGACCAGTTAAGATGAGGGCTAAGATCAGGACTTGATCTTAGAGCAGCAAGCCACATACCTCACTTGCTGCTAATATCATATCACCAACACCACCTGCAGTAAAGTGGGGAATAAACTCCATTCTCTTCCACTGCTGCCTTTTGAGAGTTGTTTGCCATGATTTCTGCAACACAGAAAGCAAAACATTTCTTGATATAGCGGTAATCAAGAGATAAGTGACATGTCCCAGAAGGACTTCAGTTTATAACTTTTAATGTATGACTTCATAGCAAATATCAACATATTCCTTAAAAGTGATTTTATAGGCCAGAAGCTTCAGTGGGACCTGAAAGTCCAATTCTTCTGGTACTGCTTTGGAGGAGAACCATGCTCCTGTTGTCTCCTGTTGTCTTCCAAAGGTTCTTAGCCATTAAACCCATCTTTCCCTTTTCCTTCTTTTACCCATTCTCTGTTTTTTCCAAGCCCTGATCCTTTTGTGATATACCACTCTCTTCAACCCTCACTAAATGCTGCTGCTTATCACTCTGCTACGTGTGGATGTGAATACAGTGGAGGTGAGGAGAAATGGGACACTGTGTTGCATCTGCCTTTGGGACTCACTGCGTACAGAGCAGCCAGTTACCTTGGTCACCTCTTGAGGTTTTCAGGGGAGCAATACAGCATTGTTTTTTTTTTTGGGGGGGCGGGTTGGAGCTTATCAACCTGAGACTTTTTCTGACATCTGCAACTGCTTTGGCACACTGACAGTCTGGAAGACTGAAATCTTACCTAGTGTGAATTTTCTGTTTAGAAAAGCTTGTGTTTTTCACCTTTCTCTGCCCTGGTTCTTCACCCTGTAAATAAAAGATGGCTTTAACGATGAGCATTTTCTGCAAAGCAGCTTCAAGTCAATTGAGCGTGAATCTCTGTGTTCCTGTTAATTCTTTAGTGGACAGTCCTGATGTCACTTGCCACACAAGTTTTTTTGGTGCTGTAGCAAGGATTTTGTGTCAGCCAGAAAGTAACTCTGGAGTTCCATAATCCTTCCTTTTATACCCTGGGCTGGAGGATCTGACCCTTCCTTTTATACCCTTCCTTTTATACCCTGAGCTGGAGGATCTGTACCTGTGCAGAGCCAGGCAAAAGCTGGTGAGGCTGCAGGGTAACTGGAGGTGAGCTAACAGGTGCCAGTCTTTAACTTTGATCTGAGCTAAAGTGCATCATCCCTCTAACATATGCTTCCTAAACCCTGAAAAGGAGAAAACATGCTGCTTTTCTTTTCTATGTAGCCATCAGGGAATGATACTCAGCCTTTATGTGAGACTCTTCCCTGGCTCAGAAGAATCTCCTGATTTCTAGAAGCCACCTGCTTCCTTCTATCTTATTTTGACATCATACAATCCCTTTTTATCTTTTACTTATGGGATACAACTCTACCACTTCTCAGGAAGTTCTATTTATTTATTTTTTTTTTAAAGAAAAAATGTGTCTTAGTCTATATTGATTTTTGACAATAAAGCATCACTTGAATTAGCTATTTATGAAAAACTGTCAGTGACTTCTACAGCCTCTCAATCTCTATCTGATGGTAGGAAGGTAACAGGACTAGTCTCTGGTTACAGAGCAAGTACAAATGCTCCCTACAATATTATTTCCACATCCAGGAGTGGGTTAATTTTATTGTGTTACCCAGAAAAGTGCTTCTTGACCAGGCAGCTGATAAAAACGAACTGATTCTGTGAGCCAGAGTCATGTAGGATCACAAATTTGGCTTGGTGAGGGAAAATCTGGGACTCATTCTTGTATTTCATAGTTGTAATTATTTATTTATTTATTTATTTTAGGCTTTAAACTTCCTGTATTGTATTGTTTTATTTACTGTTGTGCAGGTTGAAAGTCAGGACTTCAGTTAATACAAAAATATTCTGACTTCTGTGTGGTAGTGATGATTTGCACACATATTCTCACTACAGCCCAGTTTAAAAAATGTCTGGATGTGATGGCAAACATGAATGAAATGCAATGCCAAAAGAAGCTTTTATTAACTCTTTGCAAGCACCCTTTAGGCTGGCAGATTTGTTTCCCCTTTTACCAGAAAGCAAGAATCACTTGATGAGAAAACAAACCAAAATGACAACAACAGAAAACAAACCGAAACAAAATACAGAAAGCATATAAGCCTTCAAGTTTAAAAGCCTCCTCGGTTTGGTGGCATGGGCAATAGGCAGGATTACAGCTGTGCTCGCAGGAGGGCTCCGGCAGCATGTGACATGTGGCTTGACAGAATTTGGCCGGCTCCGGCAGCTCTGGCTCACACCCCTGCTTCTGCGCTGGGGTCACTGCAGCTCTGGCAGGCTGATGGACACAGACATAGGGGCTGCATGCTCTGGAAAGTGATTTTGGTGCTATAAAGTGGAGGACCTGCAGTGGCACTGCTAGGGAGAGTGAGAGGAAAGGAGAGCACAGCCTCCACAGCCTGCCTGCCCAAGTCGGGAGCGAGGGGAAGGAGAGGGGTTGGCTTGTCCTGAGGGTCAGCATGATTTTCCCCTCTCCCTCCTGAATGCTAGAACTTGAAACGCCAAGGGCACTGTGGATTTATGCTTTTGCAGATTGCTCTGATCTGGACATTGAAAAAAAGCAGCTGTGGAGCTCTGGGGGGGATGCTCTGTACGGAGTTTGTGCATGAGGTATGTCCTGCTTCTCTTCTTGTTCTTGTAAGGGAAAATGCTGAAAGTGGAGGTGTGTGAGTGCAAAAAATGTAAGTGCAAAAATGCATGCAGATGTGTACAGGTGGATGTCTATACAGGTGCACTGTCTATATTCAATATATCCTTAATCCAGGTCTGTATTTATGGCAGCTTCACTAATAGTATCTCATAGAATCCTCTTGATTACCTTTCTACCTTTCTTCTCCTTCCTATGGAATAAATCATCCTAGGAATGAAGACTTTAGGGTGTAGCCTTCTGAAAGGTATTTGAGAACGTCAGAAAAAAAAAATCTGAAAGTTTGATATTAGTGTCTTTCTTTCTTTCTTTCTTTCTTTCTTTCTTTCTTTCTTTCTTTCTTTCTTTCTTTCTTTCTTTCTTTCTTTCTTTCTTTCTTTCTTTCTTTCTTTCTTCTTTCTCTTTCCTCTTTCTTACCCTCCTTTTCTCCCTTTCTTTTGCTTTTTCTTCTTTCTTCTCTTTCTTCCTTCTCTCTTTCTCTCTTTCTCTCTCTCTCTCTCTCTTCCTCCTTCCCTCCCTCCCTCCTTCCTTCCTTCCTTCCTTCCTTCCTTGCTTCTCTCCTCCACCTCTTATGATGTTAATGTCACTGTGTGTGTGTGATATAACCAGAGATAATTTCATGATGTAACATGCCTAGGAGACAAAAAGGCCTTTTGATAAGTATTTTTTAGCATTTCTGGAGATCTGTAAAGATCTGACACTAACTTTACTGCAAAATTTGGAATGAATTTGGAAAAGAACATATAATTTCTGTCTCTGAGCAACATGAAGAACATAAAATATTGATTGGATTGTTTGAATACAGATTATACAATTGATATTGATTTGATATTGACTACTGGTTGATTTTAAAGGACGAGATTGAAATGGACGTCCCATAACACTCTCTTAGAACAAGAGAGAAAGTATTGGCAGAAATGGTGTGTTCACATCCCTTCCTCACAGCTTTGGCTGCTGTTCATGAGGAGGAGGCGATCACCAGAAACTGTAAGATGAAGTCAGCACAGGGATGTGATGGCATTTAATGCCAAAGGGAAAACAAGCTCCTGGTATTTAGAAGAATTATGAAGTCATTTCAGTTGCAGAGTAGTGCTGAGGTACATCTGAGAGCCAGGCATCGTAATAGCCTAATTAGCCAGCAAATCCTAATATCTGCATGTAGTTTGGAAGGGAACAGGCTGTGTTTCCTTGCAGAGCTGGGTGCAGGAACTGTGTTAGCCTGGCTCACTGAAATTTTTGGTGCCAAACTACTGGGTGCTGGTACACAGGCAGCACAGGGACAAAATTAACATCAGGCTCAGCCTGTAATAGGAGAGAGATCCAGCAGAGAGAGGGGGAAAGCAAGTTAGCATTTCCAAGCTGCATTCCTAACCACTGACTCTCTATATGCATGCATGTCGATCACTCTGATTAGGTTTGTGAGCTGGAGAATTGTTGCCTATATATTTACTCCAGGCTTATCATACAGCCTTAGTGTTTTATATAAGTACAGAACAGATGGGATTTTTTATGCTGGTCAGCCAGAAAACCATTCTCCCTGGGACAGGATCAGTCCTTTGTGTGTCACCAGGGCACTTGTTTGATGGACAAACAGCCAGCAATGTTGAAGCAGAGGGGTAGGATCTCCTCTGCAATAGTCCAACACCTAAAAGTGTTCCAGGATGTTTCCTAATGTGAAATAACTCTGAAGTGAGTTGGGACTGCCTTTCTATTTTTCTTTATCTTGGCTTATGTGAAATGTCTTTCCTTGCTGCACGTTGTCCTGTAGTGCTACATTGGGGTGCTGCCCCCTGGTCAGCACCAAGTACCTGCTAAAATTGTTCTGGATGGATGACTTAGCTTTGGTTTTGGTGATCCATGTGCTGTGGCTGTGACTTCTTTTCCTTTCCTTCTAGGCTGTCTGTGCTGATTACATAGCTCCTATATGTGAGCAGCACGTGCTTTTTTTCACAAGGCAGCCTGTGGAAAGCAAGGAGTGTGAGACCTTTATGGCTGCAGGCTGTCAGTACCACAGAAATGTTCATATGCAATAAAACCTTTGCAGCCTATTCACATGCTATGAAATGTCTGCTCTGTTTTCTTTCGTTTAGGCTCAGGCTTAAAGGTACACCCTAATTCCTTCTGCAAGGGTAAAGGGGGCTAGTGCCAGGTATCTGGTGAGTGTAAGTCATCTCACCACCAGGACTCCCAGGAACATTTTTTCAGGGATGTCCCAGCAAAAAAATCTCAGCCCTGCCTGGCCTAGAAGCGGAGAAGGGGTGCATGCCCTGAAATTTGTAGGCAGGAGGAATTCAGTCACGGATGTAAGTAAATCCTGGTGTGCCAGAGCACTCTGTGGAGACAGAGCAGGAACACACACCTTTTCCTCCTAATACATGTATGGTGGCTTTCAAAGTTGAAGAATTTTGCAATGAAGATACAAATGCAGAGATGAATATTTGATCCAAGCAAGGCCCCTGGTGTAATGTGTTCACCTTTGTGGGCAAGCTGTGAGTGAAATTTGGGTGCTGCCTCCCATGTCCCTTGGTGGGGGGTACTGGAAATGTACTCAGCTGTGGGCAGGGGCTGGGGTGTGGGGTGCTGCAGTAAGCTGGTGTGGTGGCAGCATATACCACATATATGTGGTGCTTTGCATTTAGGTGGTCTTAGGAATGAAAAACTCAGGCAGAAGTAAATTCATGTCATTGCTTGTCAAACGATTTCATGGTTCTTGTATTAATTTTTATTCCCAACTCGAGACTCTCTCAGTGCTTCATAAGCACTCCAGATAAAATATTTCTCGAATTTCAATTCATGTTCTTTGGAATCCCTCGTAGCACTTTCCTCTTTCCTTCCTGCACGTACACCTTCTATGATTCATTTAGATTTTGTGATATAATATCACAATGACTTTCAACTTTTTCGGTGTCCCTAAGGAGCACTGTTGATGCCTAATTCTTGCCAAAGTAATGACAATCGTCACTGACAAGTGCACTTCTCCATAATGTGTATTACCCATTCAGGTCCCTTGAGTTGTCCTTCCTTGTGCCCTGGTCTACTTATGCCTCATTTTGCATTAACAAATATTATATCTACGCTGGATTCAGCAGTATATTGAATAAGCAATTATGCTCCTAAAATAATGAAATTAGTCCTTTACATCAGTGCTTCCCAGAAGGATCTGCCTATGTTGGAAATCACGATTTGGGGGGAAGATCAATGTCCCTAATCTAATATTGGGAGTTAAGAAGTGAGTGGTCCCAAGTTTCTCTCTGACAATTTTAACTAACCTCAGGAAAAACGTACCTAGGGAGGCTTTGAAATTTCCATTATTAAATGTTTTAAAGAGTTGGCTGGACAATCTTCTGTAACAACATAGCTGATTTCAACTCAGGATAAATCCTGGTTAAGAACTGCATGTCAGTTTGAAGTCCTCTCCAGCCTGTTTTTCAGTGGTAAGGTTTGTAATGGTCGCATGCCAACAAGATTGTTGCCCTGTGTCTGGCTTCTGGAGGGCACAGGCAATCCAGGAGGTTCCTGGGATGCATTGATGACAGCTTCCTTCTCCAAGTGATAGAGGAACCAAAGAGGAGAGGTGCTGTGCTGGACCTCATTCTCACCAGCAAGGAGGGGCTGTGGGGAATGTGAAGCTCAAAGGCAGCCTTGGCTGCAGTGACCATGAGATGGTGGAGTCCAAGATCTGGAGGGCAGTGAGGAGGGAGCACAGCAAGCTGGACATCAGGAGAGGAGAATTTGGCCTCTTCAGGGATCTGCTTGGTAGAGAACCATGGGACAAAGCCGTGGAGGGAAGAGAGGCTCAGGAAAGCTGGTTAATATTCAAAGATTACCTCCTCCAAGCTCAGGAGTGATGCATCACAACAAAGAGGAAGTCAGTCTGCTTAATGTAAATAAATCATTCAAATATCTTCCATAGATGCTGTCCTAGGAAACAAACAAACAGACAAACAACAAAAAAGGCAAATACTTGCTTCAAACACAGCCTCAGGTCTATGACTACATCACCTTCAAAATCATACTCTGCTGTTACTGGAGCATTATTTAAAAGCATTGCAAACCTTTACCTCTCTTAGGACAGCCTGTGGTTTATATTAATTTTCCAAAACAGCAGAACACATTATTACTGTTCATATTGCTGACTTGAGTGCTGTTACACCACCCCCCATCAGTCCATTGGCCCACCTCTGCTGTAGATACAAATTCACTTCTGGGGGAAGAGGTTTAGCAATTTACTGATAATTGGCTTTGACAGAAGAAGAGATGAGACTGTAGTCCCATGGTGTTCACAGAATGGAAGGAAGGAAGGGACCTCTGGAGGTCACCTTGTCCAACCCCTCTGCTCAAGCAGGGCCACCTAAAGCAGGTTTTCCAGGACTGGGGAAAGATTGCATCAGTGATTTGAAGCTGTTCAGGTAGCAGATATCAAGAAGCTCCTGCCTTCTGCAGATGATGTTGTCAGGGCAGATGCAACCAGTTCAAAGGCCGGAATTTTCTTTGGGCATGGAAAATCTCATGCTATGCCTGCAATGTGCCAGTCACAAGGTATCTATGAAAGCCTTAAACCAAATGTCAGTGCCCAATAAATAACAGGCACCCGTCAGGTTCATTCTGATTGCTGTAACTCACCTCCACGGAACACCCTGATTATTATTATTATTATTTTTTTTTTTTAAATTCCCTGAGATTTTTCTATTTGTTCCTTTGTTGCCCTCCCTATATGAAGCAGCGAGCAGGGAAGTGGCTGCTGTTGTGTGGTCTGTTCCTTTCCTTCAGGACATGGGGGTGATTTGTCCTTGCATTCCTTGGGATAAGAAGAGCCTGGCCCAGCCACAAAGGACATGGTGAAACACCACAGAGAGGAACTGAGAAGAGAGCACGGAGCAAAAGTGATGCAGTGCTGGCAAAATGGCATTATTTAAACCAAAAAAATAGCCCCAAATCTCTCTCTCTCTCTCGTCTCAGAAGT